GTGTGTGTGTGTGTGTGTGTGTGTGAGTGAGAGTGTGTGTGTGTGTGTGAGTGCGTGAGTGAGAGTGTGTGTGTGTGTGAGAGAGGTGAGTGCGTGTGTGTGTGAGAGATTGATTGTGCGCGTGTGCGTGTGTGAGAGTGAGTGTGTGTATGTGTGTGTGAGAGAATGAGTGTGTTACTGGTGGAATAATCACAAGTAATGATTCATTTCTCCAGTCAATCAGATGGAGTCGTGAACCCGGCGCTCTAATCGCTTCTGCCCGGACTGTTTCCCGTTAGCGTAATTGGACTAATTGCTGCATGTTTGAGCAGAGAAATGAAAGATTGCTCTCTGGGAAGGAAGTGTAGATTTTCCCCTCGCTCTCTTTAATCTCTGAGTTCACAGGTTAACGCGTTTGATTCGTCTAATCCGGAGTTTATCCACACATTCTGCTGCTTCGCTCTTTGAACAACTTGATACTTTGACACTCTTTCTGGTGAAGTTTAAGAAAAGCAGCAGGTTCACACAGATCTTACTCGTCCAGATCCGCTCCACAGGCTTTAGTTTGGTTTGCGTTTAGAGGCGTCGTGGTATGGATGGTTCGTTTCGCTTCTGTCCGGTTGATGTCAGGACTGATGAGGTTTGCAGATGTTCAGATCGGTCCGTAGAATCACAAACCGCTCTCTGACCCGTCTGGATCAAGATCAGGAGAATCACTGCATGTGCTTTCAGATACGGAGATGACATTAATAGTGTGTGTGTGTGTGTGTGTGTGTGGCCCAGAATGCCTCAATTACACATCAATGATCATTTCTGAATGAAAAGTTCATTTCTGGTTGATGATTCAAGATTGTTATTGTGTGCTTGAACTGAGTATTTATTTTGTATTTTTAATTTAAGAAATAAATGCCATTTTGAATGTAAGTATGTGGGGCCTCATTCATGAAACATGAGCAGAATAAATTTGTGCAAATCGAAAATTACAGTTTCTGTTTAATATAAATATGTATTAAATTTTTTTATTTAATATATAATTAATATTTATATTTAATTTATTTTAATATAAGTATTATAAAAATATATTAATATTATATACTGTATATTAATTAAACATTGTTTCAAAGCAGTTTTACAGAAAATCATGATGTTATTTTTTATTTTAACTTTTTATAAATTAGTGGCATAAATTAGTTTCTGTAGGAAATTACACTTTTTTTTGTTGTTGTTTCATAAATGAGGCCCAGTGTAATTTCCATGTTTAACTTTTTAAGGATGCATTTATTTTATTAAATAAAACCGTAATATTGTGAAATAATATTATAATGTAAAACAGCTGTTTTCTATGTGAATCTCTGTTAAACTGTAATGTATTTCTGTGATGCGCAGCTGTATTTTCAGCATCATTACTCCAGTCTTCAGTGTCACATGATCTTCAGAAATCATTCTAATATGCTGATTTGCTGCTTGGGTTTTACATTTTGTATTTTTTCTATTTCAGAAATGCTATTTTTAATATATATATGAAGGGCCTCGTTCATGAAACATGAGCAGAATCAATTCATAAATTCACAAATTCCACTTTCTGTATGAATGAATTCATTTTTTTGTGTTTGATGAATGAAGCCCAGTGTGTGGGAACGATTGTTATTTTTGATTGTTATTTACTGAATGTAAATGTTGTTTCCCAGCATGCACTGCGGAGGTGGAGAAGGTGTGCTCGGTCTCGACTGAAGAGCATCTGCAGCCGTTTAAAGAAAATATGGAGGTGTTTGTGAGTGAAGGTGAGTGAGTCTGATGATGCAGTGAACGTGGGAATGATGGGATTTTCCTTCAGGATTCTCAGACTCGCTGAAGTGTGACTGGTGTCAATTAAACGAGGGAATTCCTGGGATTCCTCCCGCGTCTCTCCTGAGAATCGGCTTGATTCGGCGGGGGGAAATCACAGGCCTGACTGCCATTAGCAGCCGCGGGTTTGTGGCGTAGCAGGTTTGCTAATGTGTCGTGACCTCTAGAGCCGCGAGCATGAGATTCTGCTGACCCAGAACCGTATTAATCTCAGTATCTGACCCACCGGACCAGAGGTCTGCCCACACACACACACGTATGTGAATACATGAGTTCAGAGAAAGCTCCTCCACACTGATCAGTGTTGTTGCAGAGATGCAGAACATCAGTTTTTCTCCCTACAGTTTCAAACACATGTAAACAAACACATTATGCGCACAGTTTAGCACATACTGTCTCTCTCACTCACACACACACACACACACACACACTTTCTCTCTCACTCTCACACACGCAGACATACGCAGAGACAGTTCTCATGACAGACAGACAGACAGACAGACGTGAGTGTGGGGGGGGATTCGTGGTTTTTCATGGTGTTGATTTATGGCCAGTTTTTGAATTCTTCATCTTTTACCTTTGTGAGGGTCTGTTTGTTTCCTGACCCTGTAAATCAGTGTTTTGTCTGATGACTCTGAGCCCCTGAGATCTATCTGTTCGTTTCAGAGTAAAAGACGCTTCAGTCCTCTGCAGTGAATCAGTGAACGTCGTTCAATCATTACAGGAATAATTCAGCTAAAACACAAACTGATCATGCATTTATCCTCCTGACGCTGTAGATCTCAGATCTCATTCATTCTCGCAGCTCTTACTGTTTCCTGTTCAAGTGTCTGTTTCTCATACGCTGCTGCTGAAGATCAGGGCTATATTTCTCTATATTTCACTGGCATTAGAGATGATAGTGTGATCAGCTGATGCTTTTAACACCGTTACCACAACTGAACATCATATCAGAGAGAGTGAAGGGAGGAAACGAGTGTTTGACATTTCTCAGTAATGGACCACAGACATTAATCAGATCTGATTTGTGATTTGACCTTCACACACTCTTACCGTCGGTGCTGTAAATGTTCACGGCAGAAGCTCCTCTGGCTTCAGTTACACTAGAAAGCGTCTGAATACAGAGTCAGATCCGACTGCTTTCACTATGGATTCTTCTCACGTTTCAGAAGCAGAAGTCATAGTTCCCTATCGATACTTCACTCGTACTGCGTCTTGCTAAAGACGCTATGGGGAAAAAGCTTGTTTTCGCCTTTTTTCTATCACGCAGAGTAACTGCACGGCCATTGGTTCGTGCAGTGTATTAAGCAGAGACAGTTCTCATGACAGACAGACAGACAGACAGACGTGAGTGTGGGGGGGGATTCGTGGTTTTTCATGGTGTTGAACCCTTAACCACTACTGGCCTTAATTTGTCAAAGAGCATCTTGAGTCGTGACCCCTGCTGACCTCTGCGCTTCTGAGGAAGCCTCTCTCATTGTCCGCTGTCCAGAAAGAGACACAATTTCATAGATACAAATGTGATTTTATAATTACTTTATAATATATATGTGTGTGTGTAATAAGTGAAGGGAGGAAACGAGTGTTTGACATCTCTCAGTAATGGACCACAGACATTAATCAGATCTGATTTGTGATTTGGCCTTCACACACTCTTACCGTCGGTGCTGTAAATGTTCACGGCAGAAGCTCCTCTGGCTTCAGTTACACTAGAAAGCGTCTGAATACAGAGTCAGATCCGACTGCTTTCACTATGGATTCTTCTCACGTTTCAGAAGCAGAAGTCATAGTTCCCTATCGATACTTCACTCGTACTGCGTCTTGCTAAAGACGCTATGGGGAAAAAGCTTGTTTTCGCCTTTTTTCTATCACGCAGAGTAACTGCACGGCCATTGGTTCGTGCAGTGTATTAAAAACGAACCAATGGTGACGAAGCTCGCCAGAATGGGCGGAGCCATCTGGCTATATAAGCGGGCGCTTCGCCACAGGATCCTCAGATTTCTTCTCCTTCAGTGACGACGACGTCCTTCACTGATCTACTAGACTTGAAGCCTGCTCGCCGTTGAAACGCCTTCGCAGCTGAAACAGCGACTTCTCTGCTCGGCTGATTCGCAGCTTCTTCCGCTGCCTTCAGCGTCACAGCAGCAGAGGTCCCCTTCTTCAATGAAGATGGCCCCCGCCTCCCTTGCTCTGGTGTTTCTCCCCTCCCAGTTACCTTGGAGAAAGAAATGGTGAAATCGCAGGGTTGAGCGATCAGGCTTGAGTGAATTCACGCTTGAGAGTTTGTCTCGCTCTGCTTCGCTTGCAGCTCGCCTTCTTCAATGAATTTGGCCCCGCCCCTTCCCTCGTCCGCTACAAGCGGATCTGAGAGAATGCGCGCAGTACTTTTGATCTGCCGGTGTGTTTGCACATAAGGATCATCAGTACCCCTCTTCTAATGAGCAGTTTGATCTTTTTAGGCAGATTGGAAGAAAAGGCTGTCACTATGATTATCACTGACAGCTTCAGACTCTAGAGGCGTCTGGGCCACGCCCACGGGGGCTGACTGCCCTCGTTACGAATGCATTGAGTCTAGCGCCCCCAAACGGCCTCCAAGCACCCCGTTCAGCTCCGGGTGCCGACGGCAAGGTGTTTGTTGTAAATACTGTTGTGAACTCTGGGCCCGTTCAAAAAGCGTCCACACAATCAGCCGCTGTTGCAGCGAGCAAAATAAAGCACAAACATTTTCAAGGGAGAGCAAAATTCCTCTTCCATTTATCGCAAGTGTCGGGTCCCCACAAGGCGACCCACCTCTCGCACCAATCCAACCCTTTGCCACGCGGGCTGAGGCCTGGCAGTCCATCCCCTTGGGTGTCAGACTGGGTCTTGGGGATAATAAAATGAGGCTATTCACTTCAATTCGCTCGAAGACCCTCGCGATTCAGCGGCGTGGTTCCCATCTCGGTTCAGAGCAAAGACGCACATGTCCTGCGCTCTGAGGTGATGAATTTGCTGGCGAAAGGAGCCGTAGAAGCGGTTCCCCCCGCTCAGAGCGAGTCAGGCTTCCACAGCCGCTGCTTCCTCGTCCCCAAAAAGGATGGCGGCCTAAGGCCTATCCTCAATCTCAGGCACCTGAACCGCGCCCTCATGAAACGGCCGTTCAGGATGATTACATTGAAACAGATCCTCTCGCAAGAGTGCCCAGGGGACTGGTTCTTTTCGCTGGATCTGAAAGATGCCTACTTTCACATCTAGATAACCCCCCACCACAAACGATTCTTGAGATTCGTCTTCAAGGGAGTGGCGTATCAATACAAGGTCCTTCCCTTCGAATCCTGTCCCTAGCTCCTCGCACTTTTATGAAGTGCATGGATGCGGCTCTTTCCCCGCTGAGACGGATGGGAATCTGCACTCTGAATTACCTCGACGACTGACTCATCTTGGTCCAGTTGGAGGATGAGCTACTATCTCACAGATCCTTCCTCCTCAGACACTTAGAATGCCTGGGACTCAGGATCAATTTTGCCTAGAGCACGCTGTCCCCCATCCAACAGATATCGTTCCTGGGAACAGCTCTCGACCCAGCCCAAATGAGGGTGGTAGTCTCGCCAGAACGTGCACTGGCCATTTAGCAGCTCGCAGCCTCATTCAAAGTTGGAGCCTCTCACCCTCTCAAGGTGTTTCAGAAGATGCTTGGCCTCCGTGTCTCCCATACTTCAGCTGGGCCTACTTCGCTTGCGGCCCCTTCAGTACTGGCTGAAACCACAAGTTCCGTCCCACACTTGGTGTCTCGGACGCCTTCGTATCAAGGTGGACCAGGCCTGCATAGCAGCTCTGGCCCCCTGGAAAGAACCTCAGTGGATGGAACGGGGCGTGCCCCTGGAAATGGTCTGCAGAAGGAAGGTGGTCTCGACAGACGCTTCCAACACAGCTTGGGGAGCGCTGTGCGATGGCAAACCGGCTTTCGGCCTCTGGTCGAAAGAGGAGGGTCGGCTTCACATCAACTGCCTGGAAATGCTGGCAGTATGTTGGGCCTTCGCACCTTTCTGGCTTTCAAGACCAAGAGTTGTATTTACTCTGCCCCGTCAGGGCGTTGAAAGTTCATATTGAGAGTTCTGCCCCTTTCAGGCAGTCGGAACAGCTCTTTGTATGCTTCGGCGGCCGCACCAAAGCTTCTCCGGTCACGAAGCAGAGACTTTCCAAATGGATATTGACGCTATTGTGCTAGCATACTCTTCTTTGGGCCTACAATGCCCCATGGGAGTAAGAGCCCACTCAACTAGAGGCGTCACCTCTTCCTGGGCTTGGTCTAGTGGTGTGTCCATTGCAGAGATTTGTGCGGCGGCCGGCTGGGCCTCGCCGTCCACATTTGCTAGGTTTTATAACCTGGACGTCCCGGCCTTGCAGGCCAGGGTCCTTTCTGCTTAAGTGGGCACACACTTGCATTATGCAAAACAGCTCGGACAGAGAGTCCTTGACCGTAACATGTTCAAGCTCTTCAGGTCGGTTTACTTGTATGCTCTCGGCCCATGGAGTGCCGAAGTTTTACAAGCCTCTGGAACGATTACCCAGGCCGGGCGTGACCTCTGTGAGTTTAGCCCGTTTTAGCCTTGGAGAATATTGATATACTTCCCTATGAGCATTAGATGCTTAAGGAAGGTTATATGCTGCAGTCGTTCCTCTACCATAGCACGGCGTGATTGTACTGGGTTCCCAAAGTGTCTTTTAGTTTTTTTTTCCTGAGATACGGGAACGAGTACTGCGTTGCTAGCTGTGCTATGTAGCTGCACGACTCAGTGTCGTCGCTTCAGTCGAAGTAACCTGAGGATCCTGTGGCGAAGCGCCGGCTTATATAGCCAGATGGCTATATTGTTTTTGTTTTTTTATATACCTTTTACCTTACCTTTTTTATATAATAGTATATAATATTATTGCTATGTTATTATATATGCAATATATGTACATTTATAAAAAAGTGTACTCCTACAGTAGAAAATTTTAAACCCCAAAAATATAAAAAGGTTATTTATGATGTTATTAACTGTGGAAATGCATCACAGTCTGTCTATTGTCTTCTCTAGAGCTGCTTTACAGCTGAAATTGAATTTGTTTCATGATAAGTTTTGCAGCATTAACACTTATTTTCCTTTTTACTTTTGTGAAGCTGCTTTGAATCAGTCTGTATTGTATAAAGCGCTATATAAATAAATGTAACTTATTTTATAACCGTAAATTCACATGCTGTTTTGAATCTGTTTTCATGTAATTAAAGATTCAAAACAGCTTTTTTTTCTTTTTCTTACAGCAAAAACGGAGCTAGAAAGTCAAGAGAAGCAACTCAGTGACACCCATAAAATGTAAGGCATAATTTCTGCTGTTACTCTGTTCGGTCTGCCTTTTTTAGGAGACAGACACAAAATGCACAATTCTATAGCTTAAAGCTGCATGGTATATATTGTGCATCTAAAAGGATGAAATATAATGGTTCAGGGTGATGCTGTGGTCAGTTGTGATTAGGTTTCTAGGTGTTTCTGCATGAAAAGAGTCCTGCATCTTCACCTCTCTGTGACTTTTCGCTCATGAATGTGGGACTTCTAGGAGGAAAACACCTAGAACACCGTAGCAACAGCATTTGCATGAATGCAAATGATGCTGTTCTGCTCCGTTCAGATGTGCTGTGTGATCTCCAGCATCTGGAAAGCACTCATTTCTCTCTGAAAGCTCAGTTTGTGATGGTTTGTGTCGCAGGTTCCTGGAGCTCTGCGTGTTCTTCTCGGTGAAGGCCAAGAGCGGAGAGAAAGAGGTTTCGCCCAACACCTTCTTCACCGTTTGGCACGAGTTCTCCACCGACTTTAAAGACTATTGGAAGAAGGAGAACAAGATCATCCTGCAGGAGAGGTATGTCAACAAACACGCTGCAGCTCTTTCCTCCATAAAGCCACTGTTGTTTAGTCCAGGATCAGGAGCGGCGCTGGGCCGTAATCGCTCAGGAATGCTGGATGCTTTTTGGTCCGACAGTCTGCTTTAGAAATACTGGTGCAGGCTTGAGCCGGACGCTCGCTTGCCTCCTTCTAAGATCACGTTATGTTCAATTCAGACAAAATTATAATACTGCACTATTTCACCAATCATTGCATCACCAATCAACACAGTGGTGTTTCGCTCTTGAATGATTCAGTGTTTTCTGAATGAGTTGAAATGAGTCAGTGATTCAATAAGCCATTCATAAAGACTTGTTCTTAAAAACTGCATACTAGTATGTTTACTAGTCTAACTGCTTTTGTTTAGCAAGAATAAAGAGTAGTATACTATAGTATGTGGTTTCAAAATCAGCAGGTCACTTTGCTTCATTCCTAAATGAATCAGTCGTTTTGAATGAATCGGTTGAATTAGTAAATCAATGATTCACTATATAAGACAATTCACTTTTATTTGTCACCACCTGGTTTTAGTTTCATTTTTAAAGTATTATTTTATAGTTCTACATTCAATATATTTTATTTTAAACCCTCATAAAGCATTTGGGTCTGTTTTGATCCAAAAGTGGTTTAAAAATATATATATTTCTAGAAAAAAAAGGATCGCTTTTAATAATGAAACAAAACCTTGCAAATGCTTTAATACCCTCGAAATAAAAATTTTTTTTTCTCATATGTTTTTCTTTTTTTTTTTTTTTTTTTAAGATGTGTAATAATTTTTGTGTTTGGCTCATTTTTGATCCAGCCCTGTATCGAGCACCATTAGGTGTCAAAAATACTTTTCAAATTATCTATGAAGTTATATTAGAGTTAAACTGGCATAAAATATATTTCAAAATATATTCTCTCTCTCACTTTTGGACTGAATTTAGCTTTTTCATCTATTGATGAACCACTGCAGCATGAAAAACTGATCACATTTTTCATCTTAAAGTGAAAGTTTATGCAAGTAAATGTTTTTTTTTTTGTTTTGTTTTTTTTTGTTTTTTTAGAAATATGTAGGTTTTATAAATTTGGACTGTTTTTGAGCAATCATAAGTTATAAATTCAAAGGCGTTTAATTAAATTCATTCCAATGGGGTTAATACTG